CCCCACCGCCTTGAGACGGAAGACATTCCCATAGAGAAAGTCCAAACACGTGGACACAGCTCTTCTCTGACCAGGAGACACTGTAGAAGCCGAGTGGGGAGTCAAGTTCTACAAAAGGGCACTCAGCGCTCGGCCAGGTCTGAGGTCGCCAGCAGCTCCCGACGCAGGAACCCAAGGCCACGGGACCTCACAAAGCGCCCGCCTGGCGCTAACCAGAGGCCGCGCTGTGGGACGCTGTCGGCCCGAGGGAGCGCGCAGGCCTACCCTGCAGCCCCTGTCGCATCGGCCGGGTCAGGCTATCCCTGTGCTCACTTCCAGGTGGTCTCAGCTGTCGCACACCGCACCTGGAGCCCGGAACATTCCGTGGGAGGCGCCAGCTCACAGGCCTGTCCTCTCCCCTTCGGGACCGACCCCGGAGCACACATCCTGCTATTAAAAGCTGGAGCAGCTTCCAGCTGGGAGCCACCTGCTGTGATTCACTCTCTCCCGCGAAAGCCTTTTAATGAGCAAACCTGTGAAGGGCCCAGCTCTGGCAGCACCCACACCACACCACACCACACCACACCACACACACACACACACACACACACACACACCCTGTTTCTCTCAGACCCTCCATCTCTTCCCTGAAAGGAATGAAAGACTCTGTAGCTCTGAGCTCACTGCCCATAAGTGGGCGACACACATGCTGTCCATGCCGGGTGCTTTGTGAGCGGGCACTGCAGCACTCGCCCTGGGACCGAGACTGGGCCACAGGCCACGGTCCCCTGGCTGTGGTCTTCTCCAACGGCCCTCCCCTCTGACCCTTTTCTGCACTGGGGAGTGGAGTGAAGAACCGTGGTAAGTGCCCGCCTTCCTTCCGATTCTCAGTAAGGACACTCTTGGAACCTCTCTGTGAGCGCGCAGCCCCCGGCTGCCTCTGCGTGGACCGTGGACCTCCCACACAAGCTGCAACCTCCCTCGGTCCCATTCCTCAGCCACCCTGGCCCCCGCATCTAGCACCGTCCTGGCCCCGCATCCAGCACCGTCCTGGCCCCCATCCAGCACCGTGCTCTTGAATGTGCCCTGTCCTCCGGGTGCTCACTCAGCCGTCAGCCGTGAGGTGGCGGCCATGCCCGTTGCCCTGGGCTGCGCACGTCTGCCTCCCCCTGGGCGCCGGGCTGAGCACTGTCTGGCTCCCGCAGGACTCGCTGAGCTGTGTCCCCAGTGCCACCCCCTGGGCTGAGCCCCCCACCACTCAGGGTGATCACACACGTCCGTCACGCACAGACCCCGAGGGCTCTTGGGTGACTAATGGGCTTTGTGAGGCCTGTCTGCCAGGCCCTGGGCTGGCCGACCTGTCCGGGTTGCGCAGCCCAACGTCTGCAAACCTGGCACGCTCTGCAGGTGAGATGGGCGCATGCGGCTCAGGCCAGTGAGCAGGGGAAGTGCGTGGAGGGCAGGTGGCCACCTGGTGTCTGCACCGAGGTCTCCGCAAGGACACACGGCGGTCACAGGCTGGCCCGCCCCTCCTCGCTCTCCACACGTGCGCTCCTCGCTCGGTCAGGCCGTGTGGGGCTGCTCGCGGCCGACGGCGGGGAAGGGGTACCCCCTGCCCTCAGGCTGGCCCCGGTCACCTCCTCGCCACTCTGTACTCCACCCGTCTCTCCCTGAGCCCCCGCTGACCTGGTAACCCGGCGTCCCTGCACCCAGGTCCCCCTGCTCTCCTGAGCACCCGCTCTTGTTCTGGAGGAGGCATCATTGAAGAACTAACCTCCATTCTCTACCATAAACAATTTCTCAGAGTGACATCATCTAAATCACACTGGGCCGCCGCGCACGGCACCTGCTCCCGCTCAGCGTTTCTCAGACATGGGAGGCGCCTGGGGGTCGCCGCACACTCACCTTCAGGCGCAGGGGCAGGTCGTCGGGGCTCTTGCCCGCCAGCTCGTCGTCCTCGTCGTCCTGCAGGAACAGGTCGGTGGGGAGGATGCCCTGGGCGTACTTCTTGGTGATCTCCACGAAGTCGTCCAGTGCGATGTAGTTCTTGGCTAAAACGGGGAGAACAGCACAGGCAAGGCCATCACCGCCTGGAAGGCCGTCACTGCCTGGGTGGCAAGGCGGGCAGCGGCTGGGCCAGCTGAGGCAGGGGCTCAGACACCCATCTCTGACCTGGGCGGTGGGTGAGGACCCGGCCAATGAGGAGGAGAGGGAGAGAGAGAGGCAGCCGGCTGCCCCCGGAACAGAGGAGCCTAGGCCCCACCCTCAGAGCTGGATCTGCCCAGAGCTCCGGCCCCTTCCAAACACATTTCCCACCTGCACAGCGGGAAAGTGGGACGTGCCCACTGGATGATGCCCTCCCCCCCCCGCCCCCCATGCAACTGAGACCCTTAGGGCTCTAACGTCCTGTGAGGACTGTGCCGACCTGGGAGCTCCCGTTAGTGCTGAGCAGCCCTGGTCCCCCCACCACTGTGTCTCCTCCGAGTGGGCGCCCGGGGCTCTGTGACCAGGAGTGCACTCACACGCTGCTGCACCACACGGGGGACCTGAAGGTGTCTTCTAATTGGACATCCTGAAGGCACCCCAGCTCCCGGAGCCCCCAATCCTCCATCCCTTCCCCCATCACACTCTGCCCTCTACCCCACAGCCCTTGCTGGGTGTGGAGACCCCACTCTCCCTGCTGGGTGCCCCCCTTACCCTTCACTGTGAGCTGCCGCCCACCCTTGCTGACTGCCCAGGACCCGATGTGCCCAGGACCCGCAGGGACCATCGTGTCTGCCTTCCCGCTCAGACGCTTGCTCCCAATGGGTAGGGGTCCAGGTCCTGCGCCCAGAACTGACACCCATCACGCCCCAAGACTGGGGATGCGGTGGACGCGGGCACGGGGTGGTGGGCACGGCTGTGTGGGAGCTGCCACGGGCAGAGGAAGTGCAGCTGTACTCACACTCGCTGCTGACCAGGCGCTCCAGCACCCGCCGCTGCTTCTGCAGGGACTTGGGGACGGGGCCAGGCTGTGCCCCTCCATCTGCAGGGAGAGAGTGGAGTGAGGATGAGGGCGGGCAGCCCTCCGCAAACCAGCGGTGCACTCCTGGGGGTCCCCAGCTCTGGGACCACAGGGCCTGCAGCCTCCGCTGTACGCCATGTCTCTGGCAGCCACCTCTCGGCCTCCACCCACTAAGGTGACTCAGTGCCCCTCTGGGCATAGTGCGTCCCCTTTATGGACACACTGAGACCTCTGGTCAGCATAACCGGCCCCAAACACTTCACTGGTGTTGTCCTTGCCAGGGTCCTCCCTGGCCTAGACTCTGCGTCCCGTGTCCCAGCCCTACTGCTGGGGCTCCGTCCGGGTCTGCTCCAGGAGTGAACACAGCCGGCACCGGAATGTTCTGCCCTTTCGTCAACGTCTGTCCACCGACCACAACCCACCTGGGCTCTTCCCGTGTGCCACCCGCTGAGGGAGGACCCACAGGAGGGCAGAGCGTGACAGCAGGGAGTGGCTCCGTCACCCAGCAGAGGGGCAGTGGGTGGGGCTGGGCTGTGCCACTGCAGGGTCACGGGGCTCCAGGTGGCCCCAACTGTCACACCAAGCATGGTCACCCCTGAGCCCCAGGAAGGAGCCCCAGGCACGGGGTGTCCCCAGGAGGCCCCCCCAGGCCACGGGAGACCCTGGGGAAGGCCGCGTACCGTGCTCGTTGACCTGACCCACGTTCTCCAGCAGCTCGGACACGGCCACCTGCTTCTTCCTCTTGGGGTTGAGCTTCCAGTACATGACCAGCGCCGCCTTGCGCACGGCCCGCTCCAGGTCGGTCTCGGAGGACAGCTGCTTCACCTCCTGCTCGTTCTCGGAGGTGATGCCTGAGGGACCAGCGGGCGCATCAGGGCCCCGTCCCGCCCCCTGAGCCAGGCTCTGCCCGAGGGGCCCGGACGGGACTCATGCGAGGGGTGTCCCAGCACCTTTGGTCACCAGGCAGAAAAGGACATCTGTCCACAAAGGACACTAGGCCCAGTCCCTGCGGGCGCCCACCACACCCAGCAGCCACGGTGGGTGGGCGGGGGCCACCTGTTCCCCCGCTTGCTCCTCAGACCCTGGTCCTCGTCCTGACTGGCTCCCTCACGGCCTCTGGGAACTACTGGCTCCGACTCCGCCGTGGGGGACGCACTGACCTGCTCGGACAGCGCACGGACGGCCTGCTCAGGAAGGAGGCCGGTGGGGAGGGACTCTGGCCACCACCACCACTCATTCGGGTTTCAGCCCACATCTGAGCTGTGGTTTGGCAGGCAGCAAGCATCCCCTGGGCAGCTGCTCCGAGCCCCACCGCACCCACCTTTTCTGTCCGCCAGGCAGCGGCGGAGCAGCTTGACGGCCTCGCGCCG